TCGAGAGAGAGAGAGAGAGAGAGAGAGAGAGAGAGGAACCCTTACCTGTCCGGAAGATCTTGAATGGTTGAAGGTATTAGGACATCTGTCAAAACCTAAATCAATCAATCAATCAGTCAGTCAGTCAATCAATCGACTCGCAGTCAATCCATCGTCACAAGTTAATTTTCGTAACTTTTAATCGTCTCTAGAGCTTACTGCATAACTTACACTCAGACCTCTTTTCAACGTTTATAGTGTATTCACAGAACAGACACGTGACGTTACCTTGTATAGTATGGAGTCACAAATGGCCACAATATCAACAACCACAGGACACTCCAGCACTGAAATGATGTGGCCCGGCATTCCTTGCCAGAAGTGGGTGATAAAGTTCTGAACCTGACAAAAAAAAAAAGCACTCCTAACTAAGTTTAAATTCAGGTGTAACGAGGAGCCTGCATAACAAGCGTTCCCGTACGGGTTTCTCGCCTGGTGATCGTGCGGAAATTGCATGGGGCGAGAGCAGAAAATTAAGGTAGGGGGTGGCGGGACGAGGGAGAGCCGTGAGCAGACTGTCTTTGGTGCAGGAACGCTTACTACACAGGCTAACATTACAATTGGCAAAAGAAATCTTAATTATGCCGTCTATTAATTAAATAAAAGCTGTGAGTCCACTGACTATTATCTGTCAAAATCAGATGGGTATAAATTTGAGAGAAAATCATATACCTACCCGCTACCCTTACTGTTTAATACTTTGATTATTTCTTAACTTGAAGGAGACCATATGAGCAACAAAAACCACAAATTGAAATAACTCTTAACAAACGTAATACCATGTTTCAACTTACTCCTTCAAAGTTGGCGCTAACAACAGTGTCCAACATTCTCTGGCAATGTGTTCGGTACATCATAATGAATGTCTCTACCTGTGAGCAAAAGTAATCAGTTATAATTAGACTACATTATCATTCATAATCAACATCTTTTTATCCTTTATTTCTAAGAAAATCGATCAATGAATCATCTTTCCATAAGATAACAATGTCAGTAAACTAATTTAGTTGCAACAACGAAGAAATACCTAATTCATGCCTTGGCTTGACACTGGGGCATGCATTTTATATTATGCAGAATTATATTATGTATCATATTAAATAAGACGGCCGACTATGGCAGTGGCCTAAATACGCTGGGCTCCGATCATCTTTTTTTTTTCTTTCTTTTTTTTTGTTGTTGTTTTTGTTGTTGTTGTTTGTTTGTTTGTTTGTTTTTTGTTTTGTTTCCTTTCTTCTTGTTTTTTTTTTCGTCATTATTCTAGCCAGGAACAAAATACTTATGGACATAATTTAGCAAGAAATTGGCGATGGGCTGTCATAACGTTCAGCGACACTGACACTTCATGCTTTAAAGAACAATAAGCTGCTGCTTGGTGATCCACGTATATCGGAGACAGTCTTGACATTCTACTTATATGGAATCACATATAAGGATTTTGAGATTGAGTGTTGCGTTATCCCTTACCTTGTAAATGGAAACTCCGTCTGGTAGTTGGACGGTATTCGCCTTCGGAAACTCTGGCAACAGAGTACCTGACTTAGAACTAAGGGAAAACTTCTTGTGGTTTGAGTTCTAAGTAGAAAAACAGAATAGTATTAACAAAACATTTGAGCAAAGTCAGCTGTGTGAAGGTCAATCCTTTTTGGTAGCCATGATAGCATAAAAACATAACTTTACTGCAATGTAAGGCTGTGCAAACGCTGTCTAAATTTCTCATTTCAGTAGCTTAACGCTGCCTAGCGTGTATTAAAAAGATGAGCTTTACATATACACTAGCTAAATGCTAGAGGCTAACGCTTTTTAGAGAATTTAAAGTTGTTGTTTTAATTTCCTTGTATGCCAAATTCCCGCCAGCTTTACGTCACCTCTACGCACAGTAGCGTAAATACTGGTGGCTTTGAAGACCCTTAATGACGTTACGTTATAGCTTAAAAAGGATGATGACCGACTCCAACAGTTAGTCTAACTCAAATTTGGCTTAAAATCTTTGTTTTCACAATGTAATGTTAAATAAAGAAAACTGAAATGAACAAAATGCAAAACTCTATTGGAATCAGGGAGACCATAGATTTGGGTGTTAACAGGAACACTAACCACCTTTTTTTTTTTTTACCTACAAAAACGCCGAGCGGACCTACCACATCTCCTTTCCCTTTCATTCCTGAAAATCTGCAAAGCAAAAAATTGTGCAGCGTTACCTAAGTTAGTTCAATTCGATACCACTTCTTTTTCAAAAATGTTCGTCAATTTGTCGATATAATCTAATAGAACGAAAGTTACACGATGGCTGGAAAATATAAATTTTATTTTCTCTTGTTAAAATCAATATTTTACGAACGAGTGAAGCAAAAACGAAATCACATCTTTGCGCAGCTTTGTGATATCCTCTATATAAAATTATCAAACTTTTGCTCTGACCTACCTTGACAATCCTTTTTTGGAATAACCTGCGTGAAAATAAGCCGACGTTTCCTTGACAACTATGCCATAATAATGGTACCTGGCACAAAAAAAAGAATAAACGTTAATTTAGATTACGATGAATTTAATCACTCGTAGTCACATGTACACAAACGCCGTGCCCTGTTAATGGTGATTTCAAAGAAAGTAGGTCAACAGTAGGCTCGACTTACACAAGTAACGTACTGACCGCTAAGAGGGAATGATAAGTTACTGCAAATATATTTATAATTAATTCTATCAAAAAAATTCATTTAGTCAAATAGAATTATTGGAATCGAATAGAATACAATGTTGCGTTATATTAGATATTAGGGAGTTGCATCTTTTTTGCTAGCAGGGCTTATAGTGCAATCAGTTGATTTGGCATTGAACCTCGAGGGTGTTTTTTTTTTTCTTTTTCTTTTTCTTTTTCTTTTTTTTTCTCAAATCTAAAACACAAGAATTAACAATGAGGCATCCTCACTCGCCCATTCCTGTTGGACTAGTTTTTTCAGTTAGAACTACCAGAATGGTCCATATGGACTGAACTTACTTTGATTGCCCTCGAGTTCCTAGTCTCCTGGTTGTCAGTTTTGGAAACCTTTGTCGAATTATCTGGGAAATGAAGAAAGGATCGAAAAGTTAGGCTAAAAATATCTAATAAATTTAGGGAATCCCCGTCGAAATCTTTCATTAACTCTTACCTTTCCAAACGTTGCTGGTCCGGCTGGACAAAGTTTGCCCCTTCTACAAAAGTCAAGATAGTGTGTATACATGACACACCTTGGCAGACACATACCCTCCTTAAGTTCGTAATTTTCGCCAAGCCTGCAAAGGAGAAACAATCTACGTTTAGAGCCCGTTGACTGCATTTTTTGGAGGCGCGGTGGCCTCATGTTTACTTCTCTCGCCTCCGGATCGAGCGGTCTCGGTTCGAGCCCTGGCCTTGGGGTCATTGTATTGTGATCTTGGGGAAGACACTTTACTCTCAAAGAGCCTCTCTCCACCCAGGTGTACAAATGGGTACCCGCGAATGTAATGCTGGGAGTAACCCTGCGTGGACTATCATTCCATCAAGGGGAGTGGAAATATTCCTAGTCGCTTCATGCTACAGATACAGGGATATAAGCATCGGCCTGATGGGCCACTTGGCTCGTATGCAGACTTTACCTTTACTTCTA